CCCTAGTTCCTTCCTCACACACGATCAAGCTGTCGAGGGGGGACATGAAAAATCAACTATCAAGAAATTTTCCCTAGATTCAATACGATCCCCCCCCCTCCCCCCAGCGACTAAATACCATCCCCCTTTAGAATTTCTGGCGCCCACTCCTCTACATAGCGTTCTATAATCATGATAAGTGACACACCTACCGCGGAGTCCTTCCTCTGGAGAAGCCCTTTCCTTGACTCGCCACATTTTTTTTTGCAGAACATGGCTTCGCAATAAAAGTTCAAATAGTCAAGGGACCCGCATGGAAGAGCGACCCGCGCGGAGCTGGGCGACTGGACATACCGTACCACTCCAACCCAATGAATCAGAGTATAGGGATTCATCGACGCAGTTCGGCGAAGAGGGGGGGGGAAGGGAATTTTTCATCTTTGCTGCTTCCCGTTGTCGCGTTCATTGCTTTACAAGAGTTGACGGGTATTCTTTACAAGAGATGAGGTACAGAGTTTGACTGGTACCAGTTCATGGCTTCACAAGATTTCAAAAATCTTTTGGGCTGTTGAGAATATTTGTGATGTCGGGAGTATGTGTTATTGTAATATTGTTGCTTGTTTTTGCGCTCGTCTCTTTTCTCCTTGGTGAGCATTTTATGGCGTAAAGGAGTGTTTGCTGGTTTTGTCTGCTCCATGTATTTAATTAAATATCTCTTGTTTTTCGCGTCGACAGCAGTCTTATTCGTATCATGTCGAATCTAAATGAGTACAGCCTCGGTCTGGCTCACTCGACGCGAAATAATAACTGAATTCAATTTCTTTTCCGTTCCAAAACAAGAAGGGCTACAGAACTCTCCAACTGTGGGTTTTTTTGCAGTGATCTGTGTGCAAATTCAGAGCAAAGTTTTGCACAGACGGACTGAATATTTCTCCGAACGTTAGGGTCAGATAGTCTAGGGCTTAGCTATAGCTACACTTCATATCACACAGATGGAGAGGGCGTGGCCGCGTACCTCATTTGAACATGGCAGTAACCGCTCTTTTCGTGGGATATTGAAACTTTGAGACGACTGTGATCAGGTCTTTGCCGAGCACAAGTGACGATAACAGTTGTCTCAAAGGGAAATACCCCACGAAAAGTGCATTCCACACTATGTTAAACTGAAACGCCTAGCCACGCCCACTCTGCTTCCTGGATATAAAGCAGAGCATCATTGGCTGGGGATTTTGATCGAGTTCCGCAGGACTCTTCTCCCTCCCCTCTCCCCCCCCTCCGTAGTACCCTCATGTGATAAGCTCGAGCGGGGGGAGGTGGAGGGAGAGGGCTATAAGCATATGTGGAACAGGAAAAACCGCGTAAAGTCAACAGCCGGGACAAGTTTTTCCCGACACCGCAAGTTTTCCTCAGAAGGTAAATATGACCCCCTCTCTCCCAACAACGACCAAATACGACCCTTCTCCCCTTATAGCGCCCAAGAAACAGGAAAAATGAGCTATCAAAGGAATTTTCTCTTACCAAATATGACCCCTCCCCGTCTGCTGGACACCCCAACGGTGATGTGCTCTG